GAGGCGGAAGAAAGTGGCTTGAGGCGCGGCGTGGCGGGCAGCAGCGCCGGTGCCCCGGAGGAGCCCCAGGTACGCACCGCGCGGAGCCGGAGTTCTTCGCCCCTCCTCGAGGCAAAGATCGCGCGGCGGCGAAGCGGGCGGCGAAATGAATGGAGCCGGCGAGGGGGCTGGCGTGCGCGCCGTGCCCGGCTGGGTTGGGGATCCTGCCCGTTGAGGAAGCCGCCTCCGCGTGGGGTGCCGCATCCTCGGTTTCACCCGTGGGTACCGGAGGCTGCAGCCCAGCGGCCTCGCGTCCCGGAGGCGGGACGGGGAAGCTGCCAGCCTCTCTCCTTCCCTCCCTCTCCGCTCGCTCGCCGGCTGGCTTCCTCGGTCCACGGGGAAGCTTTGGAGCGTTACTCTCGGGAAATCCGGGGGGGGGGGGGAGAGAGAGAGAAAGAGGCGCTCGATCAATTCCTCGGCAGCCCCTTTCTCGCGAGGGGGCTGCTGAAGTGTGGCAGCTGCCCGAGGGAAAAGGGGGGCCGGGGCGGAAGGGCGGCCGCGCGTTCCCCTCATCCCGGGAGAGTCAGGCGAGGAGAGCGCGGCGTTCCCGCGGGGTCTCCGCACCTCGATCCTCGGGCGGGGCGGCGGATTCAGCCCGTTGGGGCCCGGCTGCCCGGACTCGAACTGGTGCGCTTGGAAAGGGATCGGGTGATCGCCGAGCTTCCCGGCGAATCTTGTTCCATTTCTCGGCGACCGTCTGGCCTTTTGCGAGCGGCACGCCCGCCGCCCCGTCTGATTTGGGGAGGGGGCGCCGCGCACCTCTCACGTGGAAAGAGGGTGTGAATGGACGTCCCAGGCGGGGTCGATAGGACTTTCTTTCCCCAAACGTCCCCTCCTCCTTCCGCCCCCAGACACCCGGGAGTGGTGGCACAAATTTGTAAGCTAATGGCAGTCTGTAATTATTTGCTTTGCTAAATGCTTGACACGGATTGTTGTGTATCCCGAGGGCAGGGAACGTTTAAACCAGGGACTTTACAAGAGGCAGGAATTCAGGCAGTGTTTAGAGAGCGGGAGTTTTTGGATACGAGTAGAAGGATATTCCTGTCAGCGCAGTCTACCTGAGAGAGAGAGAGAGAGAGAGATTTGCTCAGCAGACAAAATGATTGACACCCGTAAAGTCTGAGGACTCCGTTTCCAGGTAAATCAAGGTTTTGAACTGAAGAGAGAAGACTCGGGTGTTGTTATAAAGGACGCCCTAACACAAAACTCAGCTGGACTAGAGAGAAGGATAACATTTCCTAGCCCTAAACGGGGAAATAACATGTGGCCCACTTTTTTTGTTTAACAGAGAATTTTTGCTTTATGACTTTTTCCCCCTTTCATTCACTGCTACTAGAAGCCAGGTGATAAGGCTTAGGCTGTTGAAAATAGGAGTGCTTTGGGCCTTTTCTAGAATTTAAACTAGGCAGGAGTAAATATGAGTAGAGACGTTTGAAGTGCTTGGTTAATTATTCTTTGTATCAGAATTTGTGCAAAAATGAGTTTTTGAAGTACAATAGTGTAGTTTTAGTTAAATTGCTGAAGTAGTTATTTTTGTTAGTTCTGAGGGCTAAATCCATTGCCAGCTAAAAAAAATGACATGATTGGTTGATTTCAATGTGTTTTCTCCTCTAAGTTCCAGGCAGAGGAGACCCAGATAATGCTAGGACATGACTGACGTTGCCTTCATTTTGGTGGGTCTGCTCTGGTTGAGACTAATGTCTATTTTAAATCCACATCTGGTGTTTTACATTTTACAGTTTTCCTTCTGCCTTTCTTCTATTTCAGATTGGAGAGAAGAAGAAACGGGAAGCCGGAGACAATCCGTTCAGAATGGACTTCCAGTTTGTGCTGTTTTTTGTGGGTGCCATTGCGCTTGTGGACTCGGCAAGAGGTAAGCAATGTGATCCTCAAGCTGCCTGGAAGTGTTTTTATGTTCGGTGTTTTCTCCCAGTGGAGCACATACTCTGTTCAAGTTCTCGGATTCTTTCCAGAGACCCTTTAATTGCACAGAAATCTTGTTTGTTCCTTGCCGTTGGAGTCTTGCATCTCAAAAAGCAATTACGGTCTGTTTAGGTCCTTCTTTCCTGCCATGCAGGTGTGCTCTGGGGGGGGCGGCTTTCCATTGCTGTTGTTTCTTAGGTGTGAAAATACACAGTTGGCTTCCAATTTTCAGTCTGGAGTTAAAGGAAAACAATTGCATTCCTTGGTGGATCAGGAGAGCCTCTCCCCTTCTGTAATCTCTCCTAGCCGCTCTGTATTCCCAATAGCACAAACTAAACAAACCAATCCATTAACTTCCCCCAAGTGACAGACAAATGACAGTTCCCAACAGCTAGCACATATTTTAGCACTGGGGCTCCAACATGTGATCAAATTCCCCTAAACAGGTTGCATTACCAGGAAGAGACTGGAGACGAACAATAACTAAGGTAGCAGAACTCTGGATTCTTTTTAAAGAATCTAACTTAACCCTGTACTGAAGAACTCTCTTGGGAGCAGTTGGAGCCCCTTCCTTATCGGAGGTTCGGAGCAGCTGTTGTTGAGCCTTTATCTAGCTGGCCCCGTGGAATTGTTCCTGTTGAATTGAAATGTCGAATCGAGATGGCCTTTCGTTTATTTTGCTATATTTTACCTGAGTTTGTGTTGGAGGATTGAGGCAGTTTGGCATAAGACGTCTGCAGTTCAGAATTGAGAGTCTGAATTGTAGAAACAGGGAAGAGACTGGCTGGAAGAATTTGAGTTTGGTATGCAGAAGGGTCCCAGGTACAGTCCCCGGCTGTGGTAGGGCAGGGCTGGAAAAGACCATTGCCCTATTACTGGAGTTGCCCTGCCTCTCACCAGAGAGAGTATAGAGTTGGATGGATGAAGGATATGGCTCAGTACAAGGCAGCTTCTTTAATTATCTTCCAGTTTTAAATTTGATGTTAGCTGCATCACATGCGTGTGGGGTTTGTATAAGGAAAGGATGAGAGCCGAGCTAGAAGAGAGCGTGCTCGGTTGCTGCATATTCCTCTGTTGTACTCCCTTCCTAGCAAATATTTTATAGAAGCAGTAGCAGTGTAAGCTGATCTGCTACATGGTGGATGAAAGGCAAACAGTGTGTAGGTTTTTAAGACCTAAAAGACGGAACAGATTCAGTCTTAAGATGGAGGCAGTAGACAATAGTGAATGAATTAAGCCATGTTACATTTATAGTAATTTCACAGATAATCGATTAATATCCCATTTGGAGCTCAGTGAAGACACCAGAAGAATTTAAAGAAAAGTAAAAAGATTTTAATTGCTATTTTTTCCACATTTGTTTTGATTCTTTTACTGAATTTCTGCAATGTAATGTGACACTTCCGATTGCAAGTCTGTGGTTATGGGTTTACTAAGGATAAAAAAGGTGATGGCTGTTCTTCTGCACTTTGTATTGTACACTGATGGAAAAAGCAACACTGAAGGCAAAGAGTAAACACTTGTGAAGTTTTGTTTGATGAAAATAACTGTTTCTTAGACGTAGAAAAGAGGTTTACAAACAAAACAAAACCAAGTTGCATGAAACAATGTTTAGCTCAGAATGATAATCACAGAAACAGAATAAAAGCTAGGATTTGTCCAAAAAGATTGATTCAAGAAAACAAGACATTTTTCTTATGAAGATGTTGCTGATGTCTGAAAAGAGAAGCACCACAGTAGTTCTAAAGGAATGGAGAAACATCTGGTGCACTGTAGACATTGTTTGTTTAAAATTCTACCCTCTGTTTCTTAAGTGCTGCTTTCTAAAGAGCGCCTGTAGATTATTATCCCCCAGAAATAGGAGAAGTTGCATTTTTGGACCACAACTCCCAGAATACCCTAGTCAGCATAGGCAGTGACAGTGATGGCTTGGCTATTCTGGCAAGTCTTGCCCCCTCCCCCACCCAAAGCAAACTGGACAAGTCTCTGCAGATTGTGTGAAATGGTTCTAGTGCTGTTTCCTTTGAGAAATAAAGCACATAGGTGACTGCACAGTAAGCACAGAAGACTGGATTATTGTTAAGAAAAATGGCAACAACATATTTAATGCTCCAAGTATGTAAATAAAGCAGCAGTCATCCTTATATCAGCCAGTTTGTAAAATGCATGTGTGCAGAATTTGAAGTTCTAAAAAGGTCGTTTTGCACAAAAGGGGCGTTTTTGTGCAGAATATTATTCTTATTAGGCAGGAATACTGTCAAAGACCCAAGTAAATTCCTTACCGTCTTTGGTGTCAGGAAGAATTTGCAGTTCCCTGTCCTTGCCACGAGGATGAGACAGGCAAGGATTTACTTCCCTGCAAGAGCCTCCAAGAATTTGTTTCATCCCTCAGCATTTAAATGCCCAGGAAAATTGGCATCATGAGGAATAATTTGGAGAGAACAACCATGTGAAGTGTCTTTGGACAGGAGACAGGTCCTCAGATTTAACTGGGCACCTGTTTACATGATTGATACGAGTACCCTAGGGAAGTCTCTCTCAACCTTTTTGGGCCAACACAATATGAAAGAAATATAGGACAAATAGGACTGTAAAACTTGCATAATGAACCTTACAAGGTGGTGTGTGAAGAATTGTCTCCAATCTCTGGCCCCCTTCAGATGTACCAGGCCCCTGTTGAGAATGGCTGACCTTGAGCAAGCCATGGATGAGCAAATGTTCACGTTTTCCTGATCTCGTATAGAAAGGCTCAGAAGTGGTATAAATCATTTCGGTGCTTGAGATGAAAATGCCCATCCCACGAGTAACATGGGGTGTACCTAGTTTCCTCAAAATTGTATAGGCTTCAATAGAGTGAATGGAAGCTGCACACAATGTGGGTGAGCCTTGTTTCTGATCCATTTGCTGTCCTGAATGTTATCCAACATCTACCATTTTGGGTGGCTGCTGTGGTTTGTCTGTCAGAGAACAAGTGCTTCTAGTCTGTGTTAGAGAGGGCCAAAGCATCTAAAGGTAAAGGTAAAGGTTCCCTTTGACATTTAGTCCAGTCGTGTCCGACTCTAGGGTGCGGTGCTCATCCTCATTTCCAAGCCATAGAGCCAGCGTTTGTCTGTAGTCACTTTCCGTGGTCACGTGGCCAGCGTAACTAGACACAGTACACCGTTACCTTCCCACTGTGGTGGTATTTATTTATCTACTTGCATTTCCATGCTTTCAAACCGCTAGGTTGGCGGGAGCTGGGACAAGCAATGGTAGCTCACTCCGTTGCGTGGATTCGATCTTACGACTGTTGGTCTTCTGACGTTGCAGCACAGAAGATTCTGTGGTTTTACCTGCAGCACCACCATGTCCCTACAAATACATCTAACAATTACCTATATTGACGTTTGACTTTAATGGGAATGGTGAAGCACAGTCAGTCTTGAAGTTAGATAAGGTTTCAAGTATTTCCAGTTCAACATTTGCAACATGGCTGTAAACTTCTATCTTGTCAAATCTTGTCCAGATTAGGGTCTAATTTCTGTATGCCATGGCAGGGGAATGTTCCAAAAAGGACTTCAGTAGACTTTGGAAGCTTGGATCATGTGGGGTCATTTTGTTTTTGGATCACCATGGACTTGTTCTCTGTTGTTGTTTTTTAATCTGCAATGCAATGTGGCAACAAATGGGCATAACAGTAATCTGTGCACAGAACATGTATTTGGTGAAGAATGGTCTGTAGTCCTAGCATGCTGTGTCTTGCTTTTAACTTTTATAAATTCTTGTGATCTCTGAGGCCATCTCACCATTACAGCTAATGTGCAAGGAAGACTGCAGCATTTACTGTGTTAGTCACCTTATATTGGGATGTGTAAAATTTAAACAAATCGGCATCTAGCAGATGTGCTGGCAAGTTACTGTACTTTCTTTTTTCTGGAATATTCAGGATTAAACAGCTGTACAAGAAGGTGGGCTTGAGTATTGTTTTGCTTTCAGGAACTTGATGAAAGTCTGCAACTGCTTGGTGGCTTTGTCCACTCTTCTGCTTTGAGGTAGAACCACTTCATGGTGGAAACAGAATGAATTCACCCAACCTGTAAAATGTTTAATGCACTGTATAACATGGGATGCATGGAGAAAAATGCAGTGCAGAAGAGGAACTAATTATTTTTCTGTGTAACTTATTTTCTGTGGTGTGCTTTATTACTTTTTAATTACTTTTGAGAATTAGATAGACGTCTGTAATGTGTGAAATGGACAATGTTGATTAACAGATTACAGATCATATTTGGAAGCTTACGTTCTGTATTTAGAACGTTTAATGCACTGTATAACATGGGATGCATGGAGAAAAATGCAGTGCAGAAGAGGAACTATTTTTCCCCCAAGGTTTTAACTCTTACACATAAAGCACTCCATGGTTTGGGACCACATTCCTTGTCAGAACTTCTGACCTCAGTGTCTTCTGCCTGACCTACCAGATCCTCCCAGATTAGGCTTCTCTGGGTGGCCACCCTGAGGGAGGCCCGAAAGGTCTCTATTGGAGGCAGGGCCTTCTCTGTGGTGGCCCCAGTTTTATGGAATCAGCCTGGCTCCTTCTCTTTTGATATTCAGAAAAAAAACTTAAAGGTCTCCCATACTGATCTATGTTGACCCCCCTCATTATTTTTATTTTTTTCTAAGTCATTTATCCTGGTATGTTGTAAACTGTTTTTGCACCATCATGTTTTTTACTCTCAGTGTCCTTGAATTTCATTTGTTAAACTGCCCAGAATAGTGCTTTTGCACAAATAAGGTGGTAAATAAATAAATAAATAAATAAATAAATAAATGAATGAATGAATGAATGAATGAATGAATGAATGAATGAATGAATAAAAAAATAAATGAATGATCAGATGAGGTCACTGCATGGATATACACTGCCATAGATCCTTTGATTAAGCTTATGCAGTTCTTTTTTTGCTTATA